GGCAGTCACGCCGGCCTCCCCCTCGCCCCTGCACAGGCCAGAGGCCTACCCACCCTCCAGTCACAACGGCGGCCTTGGCGCCAGGACGTTGAACAGATAACACCGGGCTGGTCTTCCCTCCCTGTCCCCTCGCTCCTGCAAGCAGTCGCCAGGGGCAGCTGGGAATCTGACCTCAAGCCTCCTGGGGGACATGAGCCGGGGATCCCCTGAGTTTTTCTTGCCTAAGTTATTTGAGTCACAAAGGCCTCTTTCCCCACCACCTGCTTCAGCTGGGTTGTTGGGTGGGGGTTGTGGATTTAGGGGAGGGGGCTGTAAATGTAAAATGTCCCCTGCCAAAGGAGGGGTAAATCTGGTGTGTTGCTTCCCATTTCTTCCCACCTCCCGCTACACTCCCCTCCCCCCCCCAGGGGACATGTGTGTGTTTGCCAGGGATGGGGGCACCCTGATTGTTCCCACTGCTCGTGTGTGTCTGGGTACCAGGCTTGTCTTTGTGGCTTTGCCCATCCAAGCCGGGAGGGCGCTCAGAGCTGGGAGGGTCCTTGGAGACCATGCTCAGCCTCGCAACACCGCCCCCAACAGGCCACAAGAGGAAACGGAATGGGTGGCGGGAGCCAGCGTTGCAGGACCCCCCATAGGGCACCTGCCACATCCCTGTGCGCCTGTCCAGCTCCTGGTCCTGTGTCCCTGTGTGTGTGCTCGAGTGAGCAAGAGAGAGAGTGAGAGAGATTTCAAACCCTGCCGTCCCTCCACTGCAGTCCGAGCACCTCCAAAACAGGAAACCTGGGTCTTCCTCCCACCCCCTCCCCAGCCAGTCTTCCCTCTGTTCTTCCTGCCGCCAGCCACCCGCGCCAGATTTTGAAATCTCGGAGACAAAACTAGTACTGTAAGATAAATTTTTTTGTACTGTATTTATTGTGTATAACGATTTTTTTAATGGAGAATTCTGTACATTTAGAACTCTTGTAAATTAAAAACCGATCCTTTTTTTAAAACTACTGATGCCCCCTCAGCCCTTTGCTTTTCGGTCTTTGGGGGGTTTGGAGTCTAAGGGTTGGGGTAAGACCTGGGTAGGGAGGGGGATGGGGAGAGCTTATTTCATATATATATTTGTTGAGCACCTGATGGGTGCCAGGCCCTGTTCTGGGCACGGGTGCAGCATGAACCAGGCAAACAGGAATTCCTGTCCTGGGGAGGGGACGGGGTGGGACAGGCAGTGGGGGAGGATGACTGACCAGCTCAGCTAAAGAATAGTTTATTGATTTTTAGAGAGAGAGGAAAGGAGAGAGAGAGAAACATGGGTGTGAGAGTGCAACATGGATGGGCTGCCTCCTGCACGCCCCCTACCAGGGACTGAGCCCTCAACCCGGGCATGTGCCCTGACCAGGAATCAAACTGGCAACCTCCTGGTGCGCAGGAGGACGTCCAACCAACTGAGCCACACCGGCCAGGGCCCCGCGATTTTTTTAAAGTTCTGTCTCCCCATGCCCTCCCCTTTGGTAACCATCAGCTCGTTCTCTACTCCAGTGGGTCAGTTTCTGTTTTGTTCATTTATCGTGTTTTTCCCGCATTTCTTACATTAACGTTCTGTGGTCTCCTTGAACATGAAATTAGCAAATACTTCAAGCCTCTGGCCACAACATTTTTGTCAAATGATCAATCTGTCACCTTATTTTATGTACGTTTCTATATAAAGACACCTTATTAATACATATTGTTGGTTCATTAACCTTGAGCTCACGGCCAACAGCACTGTAACCCTCACCTGAAGGAAGCTCATCCAAAACACCTATTTTCTCCATACGGCACACGACAGGCTGTCTGTGCCTGGGAACACCAGCCAGCATCAGCACCGCGCCTGGGGACCAGGGGTGGGGTGGGCGGCCAGTCGGAGGGAACAAAGGGGGCCTATGGTGTAGGACCTCGGGTGCTCCGTGAGGACTCTGCCCAAGCAGGAGCCACACAGCGGCTCTGAGCAGCGGGCTGTGATCTGGCAGGGTCCCGGGCGCCCTCTGGTGGCCGCGTGGGGAACACGCGAGGGCGGAATTAGCTCAGCGAGATCCCGCGGTAGTCCAGGCGGGCGGTGGCGGACATTCTTGCGGGGGGGCGGCAGGGACTGGCTGCCTTGGAGCAAAGACCCGAGGGGAGGGTCCTGAGAAGTGAGACAGATGAGGACACTGGGGCTTAGAGAGGCAGAGCCTCTTCTCTGCGGTTCTCCAGCAGGCAGGCAGCAAGGCTGGGACGTTCCCGGGGCCTTGCACTGAGCCCCACGCTGAGGGAAAACTGAGCTCGGGACCCGGATTATTAAAGCAGAGGTTTTTTAAGGACCTACTATGGACCAGGCCCGGTGCTCAGCCCGGAACAATCTCTGGATTTTCTGAATCCACTTCTCTAGGACTCAGTTGTCTCACCTGTGAAATGGGGATATTAATACCTACTTCTCAGGGGTGGCATGAGCAGAGACCTGAAGGAGAGGAGGGAACAAGTCATTCCTTCCAGGTGGAGGGAACAGCAAGTGCAAAGGCCCTGAGGTTGCAGGGTCGCTGATGTGTTGGAGGAACAGCCAGGAGGCAGAGCAACTAAAGCAGTGAGTGAGGGGGACCTGGAGGGAGGTGAGGGCAGAGGGACCAGCGGATCCTGCAGAGCCTTGTGGGTCACCCATTCTGGCTTTTACTTTGAGTGAGAGGAGCCAGGGAGAGTTGTGAGCAGAGGAGTTTCCTGAACTCACTTGTCTGTTTTTATTTTTCTTTTCAATCCTCACCCGAGGATATGTTTTTAGTGATATGAAAGAGAGAAACGTCGATGTGAGCGAGAAACACTGATGGCTCGCCTTCCCACGCGCCGGCAACCTTTGGGTGCACCGGCTGATGTTCCAACCAAGTGAGCCACCCGGCCAGGGTCACTTAAGTCCTTTAATTATCATTCTTATTGCTACTGTAGTAATTGTTCTTTTAACCCCCCTGTTAAGAAGGGTGACAGAGATCAGGGCCCAGTGCCCCAGGTGAAGGTAGAATTTGAACCTGAATTTGAACCCGGAATGAAAACCCCAGCTCTTACCCACCTGGTGAAGGCGCCCTCCCACTGCCCACCAGGGGGCGCCAGAGGCCGGGCTCCGGGTTTGGGGAGGGGGGGCTCCTAGTCCCGCCCCC